CATAGGTTTCCCAGTTCTCTTTTGTGTCATCAAAACTCTCTATCTTCCCAATAGTGGTCATAATTACTTGAATTTTACCTCGTCGCCACTGTCATGTCTTTGATTCGAACGGACTACGTTCCGGAATGGCGCATAAGTGCGCATGCTCAAAGTGTATTGGCCGCTGGCCAAAAACACCACATATATGAAGCATCTCTGTATCACTGTCAGACTTACGATTGCCTAAATTAAACGTATTTTGGCTGAAACATTTGTTGGAGAGTTGATTTGTGTCGCTCCGAACCTCTTAACTGTCAAGTCACAAAGGTCAAATTACACTGAAGTGCGCCGTGAGTTTTGCGCTCCTAAAAATTCATTTCATATGTTGCCCAGAGTTTTGAAAGCATATTTTGAAAGCTTAGAGATTGCTTTTTAATGTGGAATGTCTTTTTCTGTTTGAAATCATGTATCGGATGTGATTTTAGGCCTTTGAAATTTGACAATATTTTGCTCGCGTAAAATCCTTAAAATTTTGTAAGTATTAAAAAATCTATAGAATATTCCAGTTAAAATCAATTCAAGAACATAACTTCAAAATATGTGTATTAAAACCCTTTTAATACGATGAGAAACTTTTTGGGTTTTATGATACTTGAATTCGATTGAAATCGCGGTCTTTTCGTAGCCCTGTCTAGAGGCCCGAAAAAGTGGTCTGGCGGAGGCCATAAATCGCCCGAACTTGTCATTCGCCGTATCGCCCAAATATTTATCCAGTGGAACTAAAATTTATATTTTCATTACTAGAATACCTTGGGTAGTCTACATTTTTTGGGGGGGATTTTTCGAAAAATTCATTTTTCCCACCTCTGGTCGATATTTACAGACATCTTCTCTTAAGAATGATTACAAAGCAAACAAAACTTCCTATCGCTTTCTTCGTGGCTGGATTTCAAAACAGATACATCAAGGATAGGATCTAAAAAAGAATATCACTTTTAATTTGAACAACCACCAGATAATCATCATCATCATCATCAGCATCATCATCATCATCAAAAAACATACTTTATTAAACTCTTCTCAAATTGAAAATTAAATACAAATTTAGTATAACTATAGTTAAAAATGACTATTTGGTGGTCTGGTGGTTTTCAACAGAGCAAATGTAAACAACTGTCTATAAACTAAAAAATAAAAATTTCTATGTACATCCCAATAATAAAGTATCTATAGCTGTTGAGTCTAGGGAAGTCCTGCTTGACCCTTCTCTATTTCTAGATCCCTGTTCTTAACATCTAAGTTACTCCTTCTCGGGGTTCTCGATCCCCTTAAGCATAGGAGCGCACTCCGCAAAACTGCAAAGGACACACTTTCACCCTGACCCATGAAATTGTTGTGGCGTAGCTCTCTTGCTTTTTTGCAGATAATAGCTCGGCTAATCTTGAGTGGTATCTCAGGCATTCGTCAGCCATCCCTCCTGTCGTTGTGAATACCAGTGGGGTGAATGTGCCTTGCTCTATTTCTGTGACGCGAGAGTTGTAATAATAATAGTAATAATAATAATAAATAAATCGTAATTACACTAGTATATCTTATATAATATATAATAATAGTAATAATAATAACAATTGTAATAACAAGGTGTTCAAAAGCGCATTTTACAAAACATGGAAGTCTCAATGCTTTTTTGCAATAACTTATTTTTCTAATCTAACAATAAACGTGGTTAAAAAGAAAAATCTTTTAATCTCGATTTGAAAGAGTCAACTGGGGAGCACGACGATTGTAGTGTCAACGACTGCTTGCGAGATACGCTTATCTGAGAGAAATCGTGCTAAGTCCGCTTTTTTGTCTCCTATTGCAAGAAATACTTGCAATGGAACCTCTCTTTGTGTAATAACTCTTCCAGCTTCTTCCCACAATCTAAACCAGCGTCGACCTCTTGTCGTTGCTTTAATTGACTGCCTCCGGCGGATATTTAACGATCGAATAATACACCGATCCAGTAATAGTCCAGACCCTCTCTATAACACAAAGTCCACGTGGCAGCTCGAAATCCTCCGAATGATTTGCTTTTTCTGGTTTTCCAATAGCTGCTACCAAAGAAATTAGCCATCGATGAGCAAAGCAGCATTTCCTTGAGGTGTGATTGACTCTCTCTGTCAGAAAGTCTGTTAAAGAAGACTTGTCTCCCGTTCGCATGGTGTGGCTCATGATTTCTGCGAGAGACTGTGGCACTGGCATTAGCCCGTGCTTCAATATGGCTTGATTTTTACCTCGCTCCTGAATTCATAAGCTGCATACGTGCAGAATTACTTTTCTCGAAGCTAGTTCTAGCACTATTAACATTGTAATCTCGTTCTATTCTTATTTCATGCATGTCTGTGAAGAAAGTGGCTCGCCTCCATTACACTGTACAAGCTTTTCAATGTGAATCATTGTAATCTCGTTCTATTCTTATTTCATGCATGTCTGTGAAGAAAGTGGCTCGCCTCCATTACACTGCACAAGCTTTTCAATGTGAATCTGTCCGGCGTAGAGCAAATTGGACAAGAGAATGCTCAATTTCCGAAGTTGCAGGCAGGATCTTTTGTCTGAGTGAAGAACTCCCCAATGATTTGTGGTGTAGTGCATTTTTCTCTGCATTATCTTCCTTTTGTCTTTCCATGGCACTCTCTCCGTGGATCAAGCGGTTATTGTGCGACAATCGTTGATTTAGCGCGCCAATAATATGGCAGCCCTGTTTGTAGAATAGAAACTTTATAATAATGACGGTATCCAAATCTTGGCGTTTTAACAAAGACCAATTAACTGTAATAAAAAAACAGCAAAGAACAAAGCGACTGGAGTATTCCCGATATTTCGAATAGTCAAGCCGTTCTTCTTCGAGGGAGAACGCAATTTTCCGCTTGACCGTTCGAAAGATACGGAATACTACTCAAGTCGGTTTGTCTTTTGTTGTTTTGTTATTACAGTTGATTGTAGGATAGAACCCATCTGCTAAGCGCTGAGGAGGTTTTCGTGAAAACAACAATGCCGCCACTCCTATTCCAAAAACATTTAGCCATTCCTGGGCACCCTTTCATTAGCTTTCACCTTTCAATTAGCCGTAAAAGTTTTTACTTCAACGTGCTTGGTGCAGGAACAGAGGTTTTGTAATTACCTAGAACACTTGTTATGGAAGCATGTTTTTAACTGCAGCTTTTTCTTAATACAAGTCTACATTCATTCCTCAAAAATGACTGAAAAGTGACTGAACCAGAAATAAGAATTTTATATCAAAGGGCGTGGTCATTTGTCAAGTGACGGCTAAATATTCGTACAAAAAGCTTAAAAACTGTAAAAAAAATTTTTACAGTACACTTATCACAAATTCAAAGCGATTTTACGTTTTGTTAAACTTAAAATTGTTAAAGGAAAGAAGACACCTTATTAATTTGGACAATGACGTCATAATGAAATGCCCCAAAATACCAAAAAAATTTTTACACACATGAGGATTGAGCTCGGCAACAGTGATTTTCGAAATCAGCGCACTCGAGTCAGTAAGAATAGCTATGTCGCCAAAAATCAGACAAAAATGCCCGTGGGTGTTACATTTTAGTTCCCAGAGTACCCGACTATATCAAACTATTTACAACAAAATCTAAAGCCTAAAACTGCTTACTTAGAAATTAAAGCCGACTTTTCAATGCCCTTTTAAAAGTCAGTCAAAACTTGAAATTTCCCTTGTGTGACTCTCCAGAGACTGTTCCACAATGTCAGAACTTTATAGCAGCTGGACTTGCGAGGTAGCTCTGCCTTGGGAAAAGATGTCTCAAAAGTAAGCTTTCTTTCTTCTTTGTAGAAAATAACGACAGACACACCATCGCATATGGAACACAGTTTGACCAGCACGTGCATTGCACAGTAGTGCAACCTACAGACCAATCAGTGATCTAATTTCCAACATTAACTGTAGGCTATAAACCAGTGAGAAGACAGATAATGACAACAATTGAATAAAAGCTAACGTTTTTCCTATAAGGCACCCCTCGGTTAACAAGAATTCAGACTCAGTTGTAAGGTTATTGCAGTAATACAGAATAATTATGACCTATTAGCGTAGAAAGAGGTTATTCAAAACTATGACATACTTACCATTTGAGAATTTTTTCATGAAGACGCTCTCACCAGGAATGGAGAGCCACCGAGCCATCAACATTCTAGGTGGTAAGGACACCAGTGCTTACAAGATGACTGAAGCGCCCTAAGATGTGGAAAAGCTTGTCCAGCCATGCAGACTCTTACATGACACCCCGGAAGAACAGGAGGGTGGGTCATCAACCATAGAGGCATCAAAAGAAATTGAACCGGCACCTCCGGCAGTCACTGCCCAAGATCCTATCCTCCCTTCTGGAGCAACGGAAATTCCCTATTCTCCTCGGCCTTTTCGTGCTAGACAGCCTCCCTCCTGGATGAAAGACTTTACGTGTTCTGTCTTGTTTCTAACTTTATCTCGAGTTAGTGTGTTTGTTTTAAAAGGCATTGAACACTCTAGCTAGACACCTGGACATTCGCTGTAAGTCATTATAAAGCTTATTACAAAGTGGAGGGGGGTTGTAGTGTCACGGAAGTGACGCTTTCGTCACGTGTTCGGGTGCGAGACCATGTGCATTGCATGATCCGCTATCTTGTAATACAATGTTTATAGTTGCTAAGTCTTTCGATGTGTTTATGGCCGTACCGAGTTGCTACAACGGTCAAACGAAAATCGCTCTAAAGAAAAAGAAAAAAACACTGAAATATTTCTTTTTTTTTTTTATTTGTCAAAGGAAAGGCAGCCTTCATAAAACAATTTCGTCATTTACATTTGAACTTATAAAAGTATCTGCAGTAAAGCATACAGCACCAAGAAAATATGGATGCATATATGTCCTTAAATATTTAGCTAGTTACTTTAATTCGGATTTTTTGCCGTGACATTTAGACAGGTCATCTCCCCTTAACGTTTTTTTGGCCTTGACAAATCCGGCTTATAGCTATCCTATCTTCGTGAACTTGAATGTCGGTAAGTGGGTACCGTTTAGTGGATTCTTAAATTGAAGAGTCCCCAGATAATCATACTGGCTAAAGACACCGTGGAAACGTTTAAGAAGAAACTCCAGTGGCCACTCGGGGCCAAACAGATTTAGGGTATCTGTGCTGCTACCCGAGAGTGTATGCAGCCTCTCGCTGACAAAACTAGGAGTACCGTAAAGTTCGTCCCAATGAAATGTGAAATCCAATGGACTTCTTTTGTTGTAAAAAGCACTTCTTAAGACATAAGAGATATTTTCACAGATTGAAGTAAGGTAAAAATAAGGAAATTTTTCTTCATATTGTCGAGGGTGAGTTTTCAGAGCAGTTTTTGCACCAAAAAATGGTTTTAACTTATAATACAACGATTTCATACAGGCAAAGTATTTAAGTTGAACGTGTCGCGTCAGCATTACGGCGAGGATTCTTTCTTGAAACTTCTTTCTCTCGTCCTCAATAGCCTCAACAATAAAAGGCGAAGAGATCTTTGTAATTTTCAAAAAGTATTGATTTAGTAATCTTCGTTCTCTTAAACACTGTTTCATGTTTCTTTGGAACCTCGACTTATGTTTATATGGAAGCTCTCCCATAGCTGTTTCTAATTCTATCAAAGATAGCAGAGACTGAAGAGATTTTAATTTTTCTTGAATCTTAAAAGGAAGACCGAATGAACAACGCACCATAGGTCTCTCACTTCGATATAACCTTGTAAGCGACACCATAAAGCGGAATTGTGCAGGTCTCAATTCTAAGGTAAACTCCCCATAATAACGTCTGTACATTATATGATATTCGGCATCCTGCCTTGGATATCGCATCTCGCCTCCATGTCCTTCAATTATCTTGATGATCTGTCTCCAACGATCGTAACGTTGACTTGGGTTATTATTTTCGAAAAGTTTTGCCAGGTACATTGGTGTTATTCCGTCTGAATTAGGACAGTTCACGTCTAAGGCGTGCAAATCACTCTCCTCGAACAATACTTGTATAAACTCCACAAGACCATTAAAAGCTGCTAAGTGATAAAAAGTAAGTTCTGGCTTGCTAGAGTCACATCCCATTTGGTATCCCCGTCTTTTAACTGCATAACGAAGAAGATCAATTGAAATTTCGTCGGCCTGTATCACTTTATCTTTTTCAGCACCTTCTCTAACTCTGCGAAATTCCCACGATCGCCTCTTAGTCCCTGCATAAAGCACAGCAAATGTTAAAGCATCTTGTCCATCGGGGTTTAAAACAGAATAATTCGCTCCATTTGCAAGGAGATAGCGAACTGCTATTAGATTGCTTCCTTGCACTGCTCTGTGTAGCGGTGTAAATCCCTCAGCGTCAACGCAGGAACTTAATAGGCTATGTCTTTTAGGGTGACGTTCAAGAGTTTCAGCGAGAGGACCATTTTTTATTTCACAAACCAGGTTATCATGTCCGCTGCATTTTTTGACGTAGAAAAAATTATCATCTTTAATTGTCGGGGTGCGATAACTTAAAAGATGATACACTGAATAGTTAAAAGGTCTTCCACATTCAACTGGAACAAACGGGACAAAGTTTTTGAGAAGCACATCTATAAATTTTCCGCCAGTTTGAAGGTAAGTTATAAGAGGTGTTCGCCCAAGGCTATCTTTGCATCTTAAACTCGCTCCCTTTAGCAATAGGAGTTGAACGATGTAAGGCTGTTGGTTAAGGATTGCCTGATGTAGCAAGCCACCTTCTGCCTGCTTGCATTTCCCAAGCAAGGCACCACGACGAAGAAGAAGAAAAATGGCCATCTCGTAATCGCTTAAAGCCCCTTGCAAATCTTCTATTTTAGTCCCTAAATAGAAAGGTGTAGTAGAACGTAAATGAAATGGTACAGTTGGACGCGGCGCATTTTCAACAGCCAGTGCCAGTGGTGTCTTCCCGTTAACGTCTTTTTTCTCCAGTGATGCTTTCCTCTGAAGAAGAACGTTAACAGCGTCAGCTAATCCATTCTGGGCAGCAATGTGTAATGTTGTTTGCCTTTTAGTATCAACGGCATCGATATTAGTGCCTGTAAAAACTAACCTTATAAGGATGTCTAACCAGTTTAAACGGTCGGTACTTTTTATTTGCTGTTTGTCTGAAAAAGAGCCAGACAAATGCCCCTTTCGATCTGTTACAACTGGCCTCAGGGTTCCATCACCGGCGATGTCATTGCGGTACACTATTCGACTAAGATCACTCGATTTGATATTTCGGATTGAGTAGTGCAGTGCCGTCAGGCCAAAATCATCAACAACCGACGGGTCTGCCTCCTTGTAGAGGATTTGATTAATTGCCTCGACTGCTCCACAAGCCGCAGCGATATGAAGAGGTGTAGATCCATTTAGAGTTTTGGCGTTAATGTCCCCCCCGACAGTTCGTTGAGAAAATAAATGAATCAAGCCACTATGACTGTGGCAAGCAGCCACATGAAGGGCTGTCGCTCCGCTGCAGTCACGGTCATTAACACGAGCACCTTTTCTAATAAGCGATATCGCCAATTGCCGGTGGCCATACCTTGCTGCAAGATGGAGAGAAGTGTAGCCACAATGACATACATCTCCACTGTATTCAGTTCGTTCCCTATAATTAAGCTCTGATGAGTCGACTTTTTGCCAGTGTTTACACTTGTAGTGTATCAGCTGCGGTTGCTTCCCAAGCAAAATATCAGCAATTTTTCTTTGGTTTTTTCGAACGGCTTCGTGAAGTGGAGACCTCCCAGAATAATCATAGCAATTTAGTGCATTTTTTTTTTCGGAAAGAAGGCGAGAAACTATCTTCTCGTATCCTGAGGCAACAGCAGTGTGAAGAGAAGATTGACATAAAATTAAATGTATGTCATCATAAAATCGACTTCGTCCTTCTGACATTTGATCCAGCCAGTAAAAGTAGCCATCACATCTTGGGCATTCGTCTTTGACACCAGCGTTTAAGAGGAAATCCACTACTTGCAATCTATTGTTTGCAGTTGCGAGATGTAGAGCGGTTTGATCTGCTATTGCGCCTGCCTCGTACAGAATTTTAACAACTTCAAGATGCCCGTTTTCTGCCGCTAACTGTATTGGGGTTAGGTTAACACCATTCAAAGCCGAAACTTTAGCATTTTTAGCAAGAAGAAAACGAACAACGCTTACATGTCCTCCTTGGGCTGCGGCATGGAGCATTGAGGAATCAGGGAATTCAGATTGGATCTGATTATATGGCATGTCTGTAACGGGACCACAATATGATTGAGAGCAACCACTTTTGACTTCTTCAAAGACGGCTCTTGTCTTGTCTTTATAAAATGCAATGATTGACTGGGCTTTCTGTTTCACATCGGCGCCTCTTTTTACCAACAGTGCAAGGTTATCTACAAGTCCATGCTGTGCTGCCAAAAACGCAGGTGTAAATCCACGCTTATCAACGCCATCAATGCTGCTAAAATGTCGTAATAACAGTTTCAGAACATCTGTACTGTTAATTGTCGCGGCCAAATGCAGCAGAGTTCTGTTACTAAGCGGATCTGACGAATTGACTGTCTGGGAGGGAAAATTTAAAAATTCTTTGATGTAGGCTTCTTTCCAACCACCGAATGCAATGTGTTGGGCCAAAAAGAGAATATATTTCAACAGAGTACTTTTATCTCCGTCTTTTATGAGATTGATGTAGTAGCCACAGAAGATCTCGTGTCCAATCTTTTTACTCACAAAGAACTTCTCGTTATTTTCGTTAGTTAACCAATCAGCTAGTGACAGGTGATAAAGCGTGATTGTATTGTTTTCTCCGTATTTCAGAAAGTGTCCTAGCTCTTTCAATCTATTTTTGAAATCGTATTCTTTGTGTAGGTCACTCTCTTTCATTCTGAGTACTTCAAAGATTTCTTTTTCAGCAAGTGGTTCAAACGTCGAAACCAATAATTCCAAAACACGCCGAGCAGGACTAAAGTTTCTTTGCCTAGGATAAAGTCTTTCAAAGTAACTGCAGTAGAGGTCTCCCAAAGATTTTGGCAAGGCATATTCATTGCCTAATTCGTGTCTCGAGTGTTCCCAATGGTTAAGCAACTCTTTAACGAACAGAAAGTTTCCTTGGCTTTTGCTAAGTAATGCAGCTGCCACCTTTGTTGTACTTTCGATACTGTCATCTCCGAACCAGGACGTTATGCGGTGCAGTAAAGGACTAGGTTGATAGAGTTTTGTCATCACAAAAATTTCAATGTCCTCCAGGTTTCTAGAATCTTCGGGATCAATGACTAGATTCGTTACTTTTGTTGAATGCAGTAAGGCTTCAGATTCATTTCGTGAAGTCATGATGAGCTTTAACCAATGTGGAAACCGATTAATTTTGTTGTTTAGGAGATAAACAATGCTTTGACCTGTTTCACCTTGTGAAAGACACTCGTCTAGGGCATCCACTATGATAAACCAGTTGCTTGTCGGTTCATTTTTTAGGTTTCTCAGCGGAGTAAGGATACTCTGCTCAAAACAACCCACAGGATCCTGATTCTGGATACAGTCCAGATCAAAAGAGCGTTGAATGTAAGAACTACTAGAAACGAGATAACCATACTCAGGGAACCTGCGGGCTATCATCTCCGCTAAATTGCGAACAAACTTTCCTGCCATTTGTGTATTTTTGTCTGAGTACTTACAGAAGTGGTAACCGAGAATATGAGCATGGATTGTAGAGCTTGTTGTTCGAGAACAAATGAGCTGAGAGGCCCAAGCGGATTTACCCGCACCAGGATTTCCTATCACTAGCACCCCGGCCACGTTATCATCCTTAAGCGAATCTTCGACCTCTCTATACAACCAATGGCGCCCGATGAAGGTTTCCCCGCTAGCTGTTTTCAAGTACTCCGTCATGCTGATATCTTTGGTGTCGATTGGAACTCCGCCTGTTTCCGCAGGACACCCTGTAAAGTTGAATAGTCAACACAATAGCTGGAATGAAGCAACACGGACCGTTTCATTACACGTATATTATAACCCCATGCTGTACTGGTAAACATCTCAGGGTTTTATTCTACTGGGATCTCCAATGAAACGTCTGTAGTGTGACACTAGATAAGAAGTATGAAAGCTAAGGAGCAGACTATTTCCCTTTTATCTTGTGCAAGGTATAATTAATAGGTCAATAGAAGGCAATTCTTATTTGGGACATCCTAGTGCGGGTACCAAACGGATACCGAGGCAACCTCTTACAAAATTACCAAGATGCCTGCACTAACGAGGTGGTGGTTCTATAACTCCCATTAAAATCAGGTCGTTCCATTAAGGAGATGCATTTTGAGATATTTGGAAGGTGATCAAAGTTGTGTCTTCTTATTACATTCTTATGGCGTTTTTATGATATTTTTGTAGTGAACATCAGTTTGATTAACTTTTGTTTTTATCGTTTCCTAACTTTGCGGGATTCTATGCTAACAAAAACATAGATTTATATCTTCACTGAGCAGCCAAGAATTCATGTGGTGTAAATCCACGCTTATCAACGCCATCAATGCTGCTAAAATGTCGTAATAACAGTTTCAGAACATCTGTACTGTTAATTGTCGCGGCCAAATGCAGCAGAGTTCTGTTACTAAGCGGATCTGACGAATTGACTGTCTGGGAGGGAAAATTTAAAAATTCTTTGATGTAGGCTTCTTTCCAACCGCCGAATGCAATGTGTTGGGCCAAAAAGAGAATATATTTCAACAGAGTACTTTTATCCCCGTCTTTTATGAGATTGATGTAGTAGCCACAGAAGATCTCGTGTCCATTCTTTTTACTCACAAAGAACTTCTCGTTATTTTCGTTAGTTAACCAATCAGCTAGTGACAGGTGATAAAGCGTGATTGTATTGTTTTCTCCGTATTTCAGAAAGTGTCCTAGCTCTTTCAATCTATTTTTGAAATCGTATTCTTTGTGTAGGTCACTCTCTTTCATTCTGAGTACTTCAAAGATTTCTTTTTCAGCAAGTGGTTCAAACGTCGAAACCAATAATTCCAAAACACGCCGAGCAGGACTAAAGTTTCTTTGCCTAGGATAAAGTCTTTCAAAGTAACTGCAGTAGAGGTCTCCCAAAGATTTTGGCAAGGCATATTCATTGCCTAATTCGTGTCTCGAGTGTTCCCAATGGTTAAGCAACTCTTTAACGAACAGAAAGTTTCCTTGGCTTTTGCTAAGTAATGCAGCTGCCACCTTTGTTGTACTTTCGATACTGTCATCTCCGAACCAGGACGTTATGCGGTGCAGTAAAGGACTAGGTTGATAGAGTTTTGTCATCACAAAAATTTCAATGTCCTCCAGGTTTCTAGAATCTTCGGGATCAATGACTAGATTCGTTACTTTTGTTGAATGCAGTAAGGCTTCAGATTCATTTCGTGAAGTCATGATGAGCTTTAACCAATGTGGAAACCGATTAATTTTGTTGTTTAGGAGATAAACAATGCTTTGACCTGTTTCACCTTGTGAAAGACACTCGTCTAGGGCATCCACTATGATAAACCAGTTGCTTGTCGGTTCATTTTTTAGGTTTCTCAGCGGAGTAAGGATACTCTGCTCAAAACAACCCACAGGATCCTGATTCTGGATACAGTCCAGATCAAAAGAGCGTTGAATGTAAGAACTACTAGAAACGAGATAACCATACTCAGGGAACCTGCGGGCTATCATCTCCGCTAAATTGCGAACAAACTTTCCTGCCATTTGTGTATTTTTGTCTGAGTACTTACAGAAGTGGTAACCGAGAATATGAGCATGGATTGTAGAGCTTGTTGTTCGAGAACAAATGAGCTGAGAGGCCCAAGCGGATTTACCCGCACCAGGATTTCCTATCACTAGCACCCCGGCCACGTTATCATCCTTAAGCGAATCTTCGACCTCTCTATACAACCAATGGCGCCCGATGAAGGTTTCCCCGCTAGCTGTTTTCAAGTACTCCGTCATGCTGATATCTTTGGTGTCGATTGGAACTCCGCCTGTTTCCGCAGGACACCCTGTAAAGTTGAATAGTCAACACAATAGCTGGAATGAAGCAACACGGACCGTTTCATTACACGTATATTATAACCCCATGCTGTACTGGTAAACATCTCAGGGTTTTATTCTACTGGGATCTCCAATGAAACGTCTGTAGTGTGACACTAGATAAGAAGTATGAAAGCTAAGGAGCAGACTATTTCCCTTTTATCTTGTGCAAGGTATAATTAATAGGTCAATAGAAGGCAATTCTTATTTGGGACATCCTAGTGCGGGTACCAAACGGATACCGAGGCAACCTCTTACAAAATTACCAAGATGCCTGCACTAACGAGGTGGTGGTTCTATAACTCCCATTAAAATCAGGTCGTTCCATTAAGGAGATGCATTTTGAGATATTTGGAAGGTGATCAAAGTTGTGTCTTCTTATTACATTCTTATGGCGTTTTTATGATATTTTTGTAGTGAACATCAGTTTGATTAACTTTTGTTTTTATCGTTTCCTAACTTTGCGGGATTCTATGCTAACAAAAACATAGATTTATATCTTCACTGAGCAGCCAAGAATTCATGTACACGGCCTTACCGTTAGTCTCCTACGTAACCGTTCAGTTTCTCGACGCGCAATGCTCTCCCACGTTAATTCGATGACTACGTACCTTAACTTTAGGGCTAATTTTCGTGAATTGCAATCTTAAAATGGAAAACTCGGTGCATTACTCTCCGTCTTTGTATGACCTTGGATCGAGAACGGTGATACAACTACACAGCAACAGTATCATCAGCAATGGTGCGAACCGCTGTTTCCGCATTGCACTAGTGCACTTGATCAGCTTGTTGAACAAAGTCAGAGCACCACTTTTAACAAGGTTTGGAATGGTGATTATGACTATTAACATATCTTTTAAGTTTTGCAAGTTTCTGGACTCTTCATCGACCTTTCTTTGTAATTCCAGGATTTTTTCTTCTATTATTTCTTTATATTGGTTTAGAACTTGGACCTGAAAATTGTTTAAGTCTGACACACATTTGAGTGTCTGGATCTCACGTAGAGCTTTTTGAGCATCTTGGTCGTGAATTAAGGAAGGAACCTGAAGAAAACTTTCTATGGATGCAAAGGCGTTTGCCTTGTCCGCTTCGGTCAACTCCAGCTTCGGCACATGTACCCACTTGTGATTCCGAATATCACGGACGTCTTCGATCAGTGTTCGAGGAATTGATCGAAAGTGATCACACCAGTCCATCAGGTTCAAGATTCCAGTGACGTCCATATCATCTACGCTCTCTACGGCGTGTCCTCCCAGATCTGGAAGAAAGAGTTTGGCTATCTCCCAAGGACCCAAGACTGGATCTCTCCACTTTGCGGGATCACTTTGTTTCCAGTTTGGCCTGCCTTTATGATGATGACTTTGCAGGAAGTTGGCCCATGCACAGCTTCTTATGTCATGGTACTGATTTGGTCTTCTTCCTGCGACGACGACACAAGAACAAGGAACAGCTGCTGCAAGTGTTGCAGTCGCGTATGTATAGAAAGCGTTCATCTCTCTGTTGATAAATGGGCGAAGACCATGACAAAGTACTGTTGTTAAAGCATGTCCTAAGGCAAGCCAATTTTTGTACTCAGGTGTAGTATGTTGTTCTACTGAAAACTCTGGTGTAGAGGAACTTGACTCCGCCATGGTTAAGATTGTAAGGTCAGCCACGTAGCTCCACTTTTATCGTAAGAGCAATCTTTTTCAGATAATCTAAACAAAAAACGTACCATAAATTTAGCCAATCCTAAGAGCGCAGCTTCTACATGAGACTGAACGTTCACTTGTACAAAGTTCCACCAAAGAATAGATCGTGAAAAGTGATATATAAAGCGGTACTAGGAATTATAATGGCCACTCCCCGAGTAAGAAAAACACAGAACCGATAATCATATTTTCAACCAGTATTAAAATCAACTGCTATCCTGGCAATTTCATTGAACAGGCTCTATAAACTTATTATTAACCCATTTTCGATTTCTTTTTTAAAAAAAGATTTAGCGATAATCACATGTGATTAATCACTGACATTTACAATCGCTACAAATAAGAACTTTAATAAACAATAGACATTTACTTATACGATCAACAGACTGAAGCTAAATTAATCGCTTTATACTACTACATGAGAAATTTCTGCAATCTGATTGGCTTGGAGCAGTGGTATTTCAGCTTAATTTGAAATACCTACATGTGAAAATTACAAACCTTTTGCGGGTAGTAGTATAAACAAATAATAGCATGATTTGTACGTGATATTTGGCGTAAATACCACTCGTCATATTTCAAAATTGTCTCAAATTTCACTCGCCTAACGGCTCGTGAAATTACGTATAACAATTTCGAAATATCACTTTTGGTATTTATGCCAAATATCACTACAAATCATGCTATTACCTATACAAATTATAACAGGGTTAAAAAATGATGTTTGTTTGCTCCTACAGTCCCACAAATAAAGCTTTCCAATAAAGTTGTGAATACAATTTACGCAATTGCGTAAGAAGCCTGAAAAAAAATTCAGGACTGAATTTTTTGTTTTGAAAAATAAATACATAAATAAATAAAATAAGTAATATACATTTATTCAAAAAGTATCTATCTTTGCTGGAATTAGAATATTCGACGGGCGGACCTCGCAAAAGCATCTAACTATATTTACTATGGGTCCGTTTCGATTCTACATCTGATACGCGGTAAAAACGCCCATTTTTGCAAACTGCACTTTCAATCCAGCCAGGCTATGTAGCATATGCAACGATGAGGAATGGAATCTTTTTTTATGAAGGTTCTCCATTTATTAAATCTGAAGTCTAACAGCTACTACTGCACGGAATCTTACGGTTTCTTAAAACGAATTATATTCGGCTGATGATGTGGTCTCGGAAGCATTAAAAGCCCAACTGGAAATCTACAGCTATGATCAATGGTTGTGTCGATATTACATGTTTCGATGACATTCTAGACAAAACTCTTAGAGGATCATGATCTGCAAACGTCTGCTGGTGAATCCTGCATATACAATCAGGCGCAGCAGGAGAAGGGTCCTTTTTAGAGTCTTGAAAGTTATAAACATGGCTCTGTTCAACAACGACTCAATAAAAGTTCAGTAAATGTGACAATACTAAACAGTTACAAAAAGATGACAGACAAATTTGCCGACGTAGCAAATAAATTTGCTGTTCGTAACTATAATTGGAAAAGAAATTTGGGTGTATTAAGAATCCTCACCCTCCACACTTAAAAAGGGTTGTCCCCGAAACCCCCGCCCCCCCCCTCCCCCCCCCTTACCCTAACTGCACCGTGGGCCCTACTCAGTTTATTTGTTAAATCCTACAAATTTTGGGATCGTAACTTTCAGTCCCATGCAAACGCTAGTAATTTTACAGGATTCGTACTGTGGTGTTATCACTGAGCCTCGGTGCCTGTGTTAAAAACTACGGATATTTTTCACAACTGAGTGATCATTAAACTTCAGCGAGTCTGTTCATCTGTCTCTTCCTAACAACCAACATTTCAAAGCATCCAGTCCAGGTACTTTCTTTACTATTCAGTGACAAGTGTCCTGTTATGTATTCAAACATCTTAAGAAAAAAATTGGCTCAGTCTGTATGAACATTTTCCTTACGTTTTTGGTAACGGTCTTAATATGCTTCTGAAAGTATAAAAGTACGTACTATGCATATTAAATATACAATATATGTACTGATTGCCTTGTTAGTGAAATTTAAAAAGCTTTTCTCCTCCTGCCTTTAGTTGGCGATTTGGCTGCCGTTTCTTTGTGTTTTCATCTCAGTTTGCTGTGATTATCAAATCTTAACTCTGATTGATGCTTTCGTAGTTTGGGAACAACACATCAAATTTTCGTTGATCACGACTTCGAACAATGGGAATACCACTCTTTATAAGGCTAAATAAATCCCTGGCCGAAGATTTGAGGAATGTCTGGTGGGCAGTCTAAAACCGCTGTAAACAATCAAAACTTCATAGACGCCAAACAGAATCGATGTATTTTTCTGGCAAACTATACGAAACACTTTAAAAGATAAGCGAACTAGGGCTCAAATACATACCGTTTTTTTTTAAAAAATAAAAGCTCTTCAGTGATCCTTTTAGGGCCTTCTGCAAATTTGACCTTATCCTGGAGTGCAGCTGCTGCTGAAACAACGGATTCTCTGCTCCGTATTAAAGCTTAGGAAACTTTTAAGCGAAAGTGAAACCAAAAGCAATTAGAGTATTATGCAAATCTGGAACACACCCGGGGGCGAATTGATGAGGGGTAACGAATTCAAATGGAATCAGCAACCGCCGCAATGACGACAGTTGCAGACAGTGGCGCGGGAACTGTGATTGGTCCGCTCACTGAGCCTAAAGTCACAGATTAGTAATAAATTGCGGCTAATGTGAGAATGAAGGGGGGTTTACTCATCACTCAAAACAACGTATCACTCGAGTGTATTTGATTAATATAAACATTTTTCAGCAGGGGTTGTCAGGGAAGAAATAGCTGAAGCTCTGCCACTCAAAACCAGTCGACGAGTACTCACAAGGCCCTTTTCGCTAGAACTAAGACTGCACGACGACGACGAAGAAGGAGAAACTAGAGGAGTAGAGGAACCTGGATGTCAACAGGATTGTTATTCTTTGTTCACTCTCAGTTCAGTGACTCACATTATTCTTAACTTGTTAATATTCCGTTTTTCTTTTCTGCTCCGTGTCTTTGACAAGAGCAAAATGCTTCGTCTGCTGGCTCAGACCCGAAGGGAATAATATTTTTCATAATATTGAATAAAGATTAGTACTAACTTTGTCAGCGCATGAAGTGTGTTTTCGGCTTTTGACGCCACTTTGAATCCGGAGGGGGGGGGGGTACTTGGGTTAATTTTTGTCGAGTATGTGCCGCTGGCCTCTCAGAGCCCCTACCCCACTAGAGTCTATTCTGTGGCCAATTATAGACTCCATCTTAGTCACTTTTGGGTAAATATGTAGTTTTCGCGATCCCATCTTAGTCACTTTCTATTTTTAAGAATTGACCCATCAATTATCTCTGTTTGGGGAGAACATCGATATATAATAGAACGGAGGACCATAAAATTCAAAAACTTTTTAATTTGAACAATCCTTAATCATGTCTATATTAGCGGACTTTTTAAAACATATTTTCAGGATGGTGTGATGGAAAGCACAAAGAATTTCTGGAAATATTTAACATTCAAAGTTGCGGTTGTACAAGACCATAAACGTGGCGTATAAATAAGTCACATTTTCCAAAACTTCACCGTCCTCAAAAAGTGTTACTCGCTCCTTTGGGCCTGGATTCTAACTTGGAGATTACAGCTTTATGTACATGTGCAGAACAGAAAAAAAGAACAAAGACCGAGTGCATTCGACTAATACATTCAAAGGACTCTCAAAGTATTATTAGTAAGAAGGGGATCGCTTGTCAATCACTTGAACAGTCGCTGCTTCAATGACGTTGCCTGGCAACCGACTCGCGTCTTCACCCAGAGTCCCTACAGTGTCGCTCGTTCATAACTGTTCTTGCACAACTGCTTGCCCGGTCCTTTTAATCATCGCTATCTGTTGGATCTCGCTCGGCTTTCTGATTGAATATCCAGTCTAAGTAACCGACCTGAAGTGGTTTCCACGCTTCAAGCAAAAAAAAGGACAAAAGGAAAGATCAGTGTTTTAAAAGATGAGAGAATTTTGTTTGAGAAATGTACAAACCAAACCCTTTCATACGTCTTCTCTCAAAAATATTATTTTGGTCTCGTAGGACAGTATTTTGTAACAGTTCCTTCAAATTGGAAAAGAAAATAGTTTAAACATTGTGATATTCACAAAGTTTCACTAGAACCATGTCATTTTTTTCTCGGCGATCGAGAATCGTAAAAATATGCTTACGCGCTTTTGCCCGATGGGCTTCACGAATGAATGTTTTCTTCGAGGAACTTTATGAACATTCAAGAGACGACGTTCTAGATGAGAAATTGTCATTTTTCGCTTTGTTTATTTCCATATACATACAATTAACCTGCTGCGCGAGAAAGTCAGGGATAAGCTCATTACATTACAGGCGGCCAAAAAAATAGAAAAGGCAATTCTGGTAAATAAAAATGGACACTTTTTCTGAGGGACTGGTCATTATTTTGTATGTATTTATCAAGTCACCATGTCCAACTGATAGACATTCTATTTAAAGCTACCTTAAATTTGGATTTGAGTTGCTCTTCGCCCAGACCGTGTGTAGACAATTGTCGTATTGACATTAAAGTTCTCGGTACTCTCAATCATTTTTTCTTCTTCAGTCGACTCCTCTTCCTCTTTCGCTTCTTTGTACTCATTTCTCCAAAGCAGGGAAACAGCTTCCAGGGCACAACCACCCAAAAACATTTGATGAAAAACTTATCGGCAAACTTATAAAAGTTAAAGAAAGGGTGATAGAAATAGAAGAAAACCTTAGGGAAAAGTTAGAGAAGACATCAAATATGTTCCAATATGCCCCCCATGTGAATGCAAAAACCAAAAAGCATTCTCAGAAAGAGAACCGAAGGAAAGCCAAAAGAAGGAAAGTTTTGAGAAAAGCTGCCAACATACAGAAAGTGCGAGAGTTTATTTCGAATGCTTCTACATCTGAAGTAATTCAAATCCAAAACCTAAAATTGGAAGTTCTATCTACATTATCATTGTTTCAAGTAAAATATCTACAACTTATGTATCTCCTGTCTACTAAAGCTGTAAACTTGATTAGTGAATATGTAGACAATTTTCCAAGAAAAGAAAACACTAACCTAGAACCAGATAATGCCCATGATGATGACAGTAATGATGATGACGATGATGATAATAATAATGATGATGATGATGATAAAGACAACAATGATATTGATGATGATGCAGACAATGATGAAAATGGTGATGATGACAACAATGGTAATGGTGATGCTGACAATGATGATGATTATTAAATGCTGAGGACAACAACAACAATGATGATGGTGCTGGTTATGTTTACAGTAGAAATAGGATCAATGTTGTAAGATACTGATTTGTAAGTGTTAATAAAAGGTGTTGTATAAAGCTATTTTAATAGGCTGTATTTGTTGATGGCATCCAGGCGCAGCTTTTAACATGTTTGCTGGCAAAACGTTAGCATATTTTTTAATGCCCCCCCACTACCGCCCTCCGGTTAGTTCAGTTGGGAGAGCGCCGGTCTGCTGAGCGGGAGGCCGTAGGTTCAAACCCCGGCCGGACCAACACTCAGGGTCTTTAAATAACTGAGGAGAAAGTGCTACCTTTGTAATAACATCTGCAAATGGTTAGACTTTCTAGTCTTCTCGGATAAGGACGATAAACCGTAGGCCCCGTCTCACAAGCCCTTGCACATGTAATAAATCTGTGGGACGTTAAAGAACCCACACACTCTTCGTAAAGAGTNGTAAAATATCTACAACTTATGTATCTCCTGTCTACTAAAGCTGTAACCTTGATTAGTGAATATGTAGACAATTTTCCAAGAAAAGAAAACACTAACCTAGAACCAGATAATGCCCATGATGATGACAGTAATGATGATGACGATGATGATAATAATAATGATGATGATGATGATAAAGACAACAATGATATTGATGATGATGCAGACAATGATGAAAATGGTGATGATGACAACAATGGTAATGGTGATGCTGACAATGATGATGATTATTAAATGCTGAGGACAACAACAACAATGATGATGGTGCTGGTTATGTTTACAGTAGAAATAGGATCAATGTTGTAAGATACTGATTTGTAAGTGTTAATAAAAGGTGTTGTATAAAGCTATTTTAATAGGCTGTATTTGTTGATGGCATCCAGGCGCAGCTTTTAACATGTTTGCTGGCAAAACGTTAGCATATTTTTTAATGCCCCCCCACTACCGCCGCCCGGTTAGTTCAGTTGGGAGAGCGCCGGTCTGCTGAGCGGGAGGCTGTAGGTTCAAACCCCGGCCGGACCAACACTCAGGGTCTTTAAATAACTGAGGAGAAAGTGCTACCTTTGTAATAACATCTGCAAATGGTTAGACTTTCTAGTCTTCTCGGATAAGGACGATAAACTGTAGGCCCCGTCTCACAAGCCCTTGCACATGTAATAAATCTGTGGGACGTTAAAGAACCCACACACTCTTCGTAAAGAGTAGGGCACGTAGTGCCTGCTGTAGTGGTCTATCTCACTTTCACACTCATGGATGGGGGCATCATCACTCATTCCTTCAGTACTTGTAAACTGCACCTTAAGCAGTCTGGCAAAGTCCCCCAACCAGTGTTGTAAATTATCCCTGAAAAGCCCTGTGGGGAGTGGATGATAAGATATTTACAATTTACAATTTACAATTTACCCCCCTTCAAGCCGTGCGTAAAAAGGGTGGCCCACCCCCTATTTGCACCAGCCCCCCGTCCCGATAAATAATGACCAGTCCCTGAACAGTTTTCGTCTCTTTCGTTCTCTCTTGTTTGTGAACGTTTCTACCAGTAAGAAAACTTTCTTGCTTTTTTCTTCTCTCTAAATAGAATAAAAAGTGTACCGTGGCACCAAAGAGGCCTCAAAGGAGTGCTCTTTCAATGACCTAACTCATACCTCTTCACAATTTCTGCACCAGTGATGTCATAAATATGGTAAGCAATGCCTAACTTGGAATGGCCGTCAAATTTTCGAGAGAGCAGATCCTGTTAAACAAAAAACAAAACCAATTTATCTACAGTAACAGACAGTAATATGTATTTAGACATTAGCAAAGTCCATCCAAGGGCTTTTATATTAACTAGCTTGACCTTTACCGGAGTTGGGGGACTCAGACCGGTTTCAATCATGTTACAGAATGAGGACAAATTATTGACAAGAAATGGAAATGGGGCACAAATATTCCTGGAGTAAGAGCTCGGACATTAATTAGTTTTAAGAAGGCCTTGGTGACTAGGTATTATCCTATATATCAGCACCAACAGTCCAACATTAAAACCATTAGTATTTGCTTTGCATCTGTCAGTTTACATATCAGAACAATAAGTGAAAAGAACAAAAAGTATAGTTTACCCACACTTTTGTTCCTGTCAGATTTTGATGTCTTTTTTTTGTATATTGCGGCTTCAATTGCTTTACCCTGCCCAATCCAGAATAATCTCGTCCAAATTTTCAAAACTGTCCGTCAGGTTGAATGAAAACAAGGTTCTCCATTCAAAGGCGGGTCATAGGTAGTCGCTAACAGAAAAGTTACCCCCATAACAAAATGGGTAATTATTTGTACAAGAGTTCAATTGTACCTAACATTATCCACGCTCTCTAAAGAATGTGTTTGGTTACATGTATTTGTCCTTGCTTCCATTAGAAACCCTTCACACAATACCTTATTTGTGAGTTCTGTTTCATTGACATAACTCTCAATAATATATCAGACTTTCAAACTCGCCCTGAATATTAAATGCCTGGGTAGTTTTTGTGAAAGTAGCAACTTGTTTAAATCTTATGTACATATACAATACGAATGTATCAACGCGTCTTAAAAAAAATAAAAAATTAATGTAAAACTATTACCCTCTCAAGAATTTCACGGTACTTGCGTTGTCGGATCATTCGAATAAGTGCTTTTCTTCCTAAAATACAAAACAAAATGAGGAGAATCGGATGGTCGGCCAATACAAATTACAAAATGGGGATATATTTATTACAAAACTTGAACTTTTAAGCTGTCACAAGCCTTAGATTGCACAGTAAATAAAGTAAATGCGATAACATTTTTGAGAGCTAAAGCCCATTTTTCAATTCAGATTAAAAGCACTGAATTTTTATGTTAGAGAATTTACTTTGACACAGATTTAGCAATTCTAAGCCTGGGTAAGGAGAGAAGCCAAATTACTCGAAACTATGACGTATACTTACCATTTGAAAAGTTTTTCATGAAGACACCTGCACCAGGAATGGAGAGCCACCAGCTATCAACATCCCTTGTGGTAAGGACACCAGTGCTTACAAGATGACTGAAGATAAAAACAATCAGGGTGATAATGAGCTGTAAATACAGGGAATACTCCTTCAGAGAAACTTTATGGTACATTAGACTTGCCACAGGTCAACCTCACGAGTTTAAGTGAGCAGAGCAAGCTTTTTAGGTTGCGAAGCAGCCAAGCAACCCCCCACCATAATAATTATGGTACATCAACAAGACTACATACGTGATTTCCTCCTCTGACAGTCTAAATCTGTTAGATACATCCTTTTTACTTATACTGACATCTGAATGATTTGGGAGAAGGCTACTGACAAATTTATCTGTTAGAAAAAATCAGAAAGGTTTTAAAATAATCAAATGGACAAAGCATAATCATTAATGTTAAAAACAATACCCAGGCAGATATTTATTTATTCCTAGATTCACTTAATAAAAATCACCACTAAAACTACAATAAATTTTTGTTGTAGTGTATCAGACAGTTTTTATCCATACATTGTGGCTCAATGTCATTTTACCCATGGTATACCCCTAGTTTGTCCTCAATAACACTCATCATCAAACACAATCATAGTACTGTGACAAATTAGTAAAATCCAACTAGTGGTCTATTATCAATACTGCATTCTGATTGGTTGAGCTACTCCTAGGCTATATCCACTAGTAGCAAAAAGCACGGCTTTTTGGTGGCAAAAAAGGATTAAAGTCTAGCTTTACCTAGCTAAAATGTTTTTAATCCAATATTTTTGACCAGCTAGTTCGATCTTACTAAAACAATTATTTCTCTCGCCCTCATGGCCTCTGAGTCAATAGCCCATGAGGCCGAAGGCCTCATGGGCTATTGACTCAGAGCCCATTCGGGCTCTATGAATAATTGATAAATAAACTAAACTAATAAGGTAAAACAGAAAAGGGGAAAACATGAAATGAACATATGTTTAATTTCTAAGGACATGCATTTTGTATGTTTATTATTATTATTATATAATAATAATAATAATAATAATAATTTTAAAGTAGAGTAAATATCCTGCCTTATTATGGTAAATTAACCCACATTTTCCTTCATCTAGTGCTAACCTATTGTAAGAAGAACCTTTGGATCACTGACTCTTGACTTGACATGAGAAACATAGTCCTCAGTAAGTACAACACCAAACTCGTCAGATCCTGAAGTTAGTTTGAAAAGACGAACCTCGTTCTCTTCCCAGAGATTATTCTGAAAACAAAAAAAACTCAGTTCCTTATTCATGATGAAGCTCAAAACACAATGTTGTTTGTAAAACATAAGCCTTCCAAACACGTTTAGGTCATACAAACAAGTTGATGTACACCGGATGAAAAGGAAGTTAGCAAAAAAACTTCGATACCATACACTGTAGAAAGAATCTGGATAGATAAAAGGTTAGAAAACAAGACTAACGTAAACTGCCGCTTATAAGCTCTGGTCTTATACATCTTCATAAGGGGTTTAGTAGGGCTTATAAACAGAGGGGCTTATATCTCAGCGGGCTTAATATAACTGGTCTAGAAAAAATGCTTTGAAGCAAGCTGTGGCAGTGCTGACCAAAATACCATTTGCATTTACTGGTTTTTAATTACGTTTTAAAATGCCATAAAACATGTAAATCAAATTCATTTCAGTACAAGCTAGAGGGGAACTTACCGGTATAATCGGATGTATTTTTTGTTTACAAGTAGATAGGTCTGTAACTGGGGGTGGGCTTATAAGTGGCCATTTACCATATAGTAGGCCAAAACATTTTGATTGGGCTCATGGAGGAGCAAACCTTTTCAATCTGAATAGCGGCCAAATATTTAATTAAAAAATAGAAAAAAAATACACATGATGATTTAGGGTTAGTAAATCCACTTGTTGGTTCTTCGTCTACCTGGACGGTGGTCGAATTGGAATTTGGAAATGATGGTTTCTGAGGAAGAGGGAAAAACTGTAGTAGCCGGAGAAAAATCTCTCAGAGTAAAGGAGAGAACCAACAACAAACTCAACTGTGGCAAATCATTTTGCCATAACATGGCCGATAGAAGTGAATGAGCTATAAATTCATCCTGACGAAAAATTAAGCTCGTCCTGAATGTCCGCTGCTGCAGTATGCAGACTTACCAACTGCCTGTCCACTAATGTCTTGTCCTTGACAACACAGTAGATCTGATGCTTCAATATAATGGCTGGAATTTTCCTTTCAAACTTCGACAATGGTACAATTGACTTCAGAAATAATATGGCTGCTTTTGTGTCACAGGGTATTTCAAAATCTGGATTCAAAAAAAGTAAAAGACAATGATAATTACTAATGGTGAATACATAAGATTGAAACGATTAAATAAATAAATAAAAAAAAACTAGTGATTGTAAGCTCTTTCACCCAGGACTTTCAAGAGCTGTCATCAATCTTAAGCTCACCAAAATCGCTCTCAGTTGATTTTCCAGGACTCTTGTCGCGTGACTCAATTAAAGGACGCTTATGAGAACTACTAGTCTCTGGGACAGGATTTAAAAAAGACCGAGGCCGTTTTAAACTCATTGATTTATAGAGGAAAAAGAGTGTTTCTTTCTTTACAGTTCGTCAATAATCGAAGCCACCATTCATTTTTGCTTCCAGTCCCTCGCAAAGGCGTAAGCCTCAGTCCGCAAATATTGCGGGCATTTCAAGATGGCGAATGACTTGGAGTTCAAAGGAAATTTAAGGACAATTTTCTCTGGCAATCATTCCTTGCTTAGAAATAGGGTCAACGTCTAACTGCTCAAATATGCTACTGTTACAGAACAAGCTGTCTATTTTACATTCAAAGTTACGGATGAACGCTCTGGTCGGCAGTGTACAGCGAGTGTATTCATGTATAGAGAATAAACAGGTCGTCGTTTGCGATCGATTAATCATTCACAGGTAAATTATCCTTCTGTCGTTACTAAACCGAACCGTAGTATTTAATGTCAAAATAGAGATGATAAGAGAATTTGTTGCCCTTGTTTGCTTTATCTTGGCATCTGTAATCCTTTGCTCTTCAGGGGATCCAAGAATTCACACATCTCACGGGAAGCAGGAGGAAACACATGATGGTAGTAGACATCCCGTGTCGAGTGATCACAAAAGCCACTCTCGAACCAACGAGGAACAAACTAATGATCATAAATCGGGGACGCTGTCCAAGGAAAAGGACAGCGTTTTAAACTTTGAAAGAGTTCTGTTTGATCGCGAAGAGCTGAAGAACTATGTTCTAGATTATCTGCGCACACATGGTTTCGCTCAAAACCCAACAACAAGCCCTAAGAAGTCACTGGATCACAAGCAGAAATCAGCTGGCAGGCATAGCGGGCCTCGTGACAAGTTAGAATCACCGCAATCGAGATTTGGGGGCAAAAGGGAACAGAATCATCACAGTGCCCCCGAGGACGAAAAATACTTTTCGCGAAACAGTGAGAGTGGTAATCAAAATCGAGCTGGTGGGCATAGTAAGCGTCATAAAAAATCGAAATCACTAGGAACTAGAAAACGCTCACATGGACGTCACGGTACTCGTGAAAAAGAAAATGATGCATTGTATAAGGAGAAATATGCAGCAGGGTCAGGTCTTTCGACAAAAGAAAGGCGTGGTCATCATCAGACGTCCATTGGCAAGAGTTACATGTATCCAGGAACCAAGAAGGAGAGAATGACGAACACAGATATTAATCAAAATAACCTAAAACATGTTTCGAGGTCAGATAAGCATGATGATCAGAGGAGAAAGAACAAAATTTCCAAAATTCAGGCTTCGAGTTCCTCGCTAGAGCACCGGGGTCATTACAAAAGCAGGAAAAGCTTAAATAACAGGAAATCTAACAAGAGAGACTTCATAGCAATTCTTCCAGCTCAGTCTTTCAAACTTGAAGGCTTTGATGTACAGCCAGTTCATCAATCTAAATTATCTCACAAAAAACACAAAAGAAAATCAGACAAAATGCTGAAGCATGTAAAGTCGAAGAAGTATAAATCTGAACAACATTCTGAAGAAGAAGAGCGTGTAGCTAAAGACAAAAGTGGCCTTAATTCAAAATCACATGCAAATAAGAACGAGATCAAAGCGCAAAGACATGGAGCAGGTTTAAGGAGCAGTGCCTCTTACAAGAGATCCAGATATAGTCACAGAAAGCAGAGCGAAAGTTCAGCACAAGCTAAAAGAAAAGATTATTTGCCCCAAAAGCATCATAGTCGTGAGAATAAAAAGATTTCAGCTCGTAAACGTAAGAAAACTTCAAGACATCGGGATGCGCAGAATAAAAAGTTTTCTCCCTCTTGGAAATCCCTGGACAAAAGAAAGATACCGTCTTGGTATGATGATGCCAAGTTTGGAATATTTGTTCACTGGGGTTTGTATTCTGTCCCAAGTTTTGGGACAATGAACAGTGAATGGTTTTGGTACAAGTGGAAAGGCAGGCGGCAATGGCAAAAGTATTTGAACTTTACTAGGAAAAATCATCCTTCAGAATTCAGCTACAATGAGTTTGCTCCATATTTTACAGCTGAGTTTTTTAATGCCACGCAGTGGGCAGAGCTTGTGGCCAGATCTGGGGCAAGGTATGGTGATTAGCTTAAAATACACTTCATTGTGCATTCCAGGGTGTGTCATTAGCATACTAATCGCCTAGCTAGTCTTAAGACAAGTCTCCAGCTGCACGTAAATTGACTATGATCGCCAATATAAAAATTTTACTAACGGGTGTCGTTAATAGTTGGATCAATATAACATTAAAAATGTGGGGGAAGAACCAATTGTACTCGTAGTTCTCTGTTAAGACCGATTGACATAGCACAACTTTGTCGCATGCGATGTGCTTACAATAATTCTACGACGTGGGTCTCACATACAACCATGCAAACAGTCATTCCATGCTGACCTTTCTTTCAGGTACTTTGTATTTACCAGCAAACATCATGAGGGCTTTACCAACTGGAATTCAAGTGTGGCTTGGAACTGGAATTCGGTTGACATCGGTCCTCACAGAAATATTGTTGGTAAGTCAGTAGAGATTCAGGTGTGCTTAGACGTTTATTTGCGCCAGATCGCCACTTATATTTTCAGAAGAGGGAGAATCGTGAACGGCGAGTATAAGATTGCAAAATGCCAGTGCACAAACTAATCCCGGCATGATAATTTCTGTCGTACTGTCCTTGCTGATACGAGAAGCTGTGGAAGCCTGGATTGAGAGCCTACTCAACAAGAGACGGACACTGAGAAAAAACTGAAAGCGCCTGCCTGCGGGGCGCAGAATAATCTGTGTTTGTGACGTTCTTTAATTATTTTGCCTTTGCCACGAATGATAATCGTTCCTTGGAACTAAGCTGTCTGAAAAAGCCGTTATTACCTTATTATGGGAAATTTACCCTTTATTTTTCATCTTTCACAAAAGCTAAGGGGAAGGTTTACAATACTTCGAGTCCATCTTCATCCTTGTCGCTGTCAGAAGTGATGTCAATATCTTCTCCTTTGATTTCGGCCAAGATAATCGCGTTAATTTCCTTTTTATGAAATTCTAACTCTTCTTTCGCGTTAATTTTCTTTATTCGAAAGTCCTTTCCATGAAATTCGCGTTAATTTAACTCGCGTTAATTTCCAATACATGTACCTTAATTTCATGGAGCGTTAATTTCCTGTAATAAGGTAAATCAACAATATGAATCCTGTTCCAATGATACATGAGAACAAGAAAGGGTTTTTTACCAATGTGCCGGCCGACAACAGTCGCTCATTCCTATGCATGCATGTTTAAAATGTACGTTATTTCTCATTCGATAATCATTTCATTTCTCTACTTATTGTTTTCCAGACGAGCTCGCCAAAGCTTTTCGAAATCTTTGTAATCCAGAAGTGAAGTTTGGTTTGTACTACTCCCTGTACGAGTGGTTCAACCCTCACTACTTGAGAGACAAAGCAAACGGATTTAAAACTGATGAATACATCAAGGTAAGGAAATTTTCATAGACGATACGTTTAACTACTAATTTCACTGTAGTCTTAAACTCCGAGGTTCGTCATCCCTAACTCTAATTATCTATGCCACTCTCTTTGCCCGACTAAAAAACCATAAAATCATGAAACCATGAAAAAAACCCAGTAATAATCAACCCAAAAAATTAAAGGAAACATTAAGCTAACTTGACTTCGAAATTTTTATCCACTTGCAGTGATGTTGAAGTGGTTTAGGATGTGAAACGATCTTTCATCATTTTTTGTTTATTGTAAAATCACAGATTCTAATTTTTGATTCTGACAAATGGTACATTTATATCTTTTTATCGGTGGATTGAGTCGGTTAATAAAATGATGGACATACTACATGTACATTCAGTTTGAGAGTTTTGAATTTCTTTTGTTTTGCCTCTAGAGTGTCATGAATCCACAGTTGTATGATCTCGTTAATACGTTTAAGCCCGATTACCTGTGGACCGATGGAGAATGGGAAGCAAATGACACATACTGGAAGAGTACAGAATTTCTCGCCTGGCTTTTTAATGAAAGGTATCTGAAGTCAACACTTTGTACTTTGTTCTTTCAGGGAATTTGTTTGGATTTATTCTCGTCCTCAGCGCCTCCTGTTCCTCTTTGCCGGCGAGAGTCTTTGTAGGAGGTCCTCGTGCTCACGACTCTGTTTAAATTAGCTCTGTTCTAATGCTTAACTGGATGTTACTGTAGAAATAAATAAATAAATAAATAAATAAATAATGTATAAAGAGTTTCCACAACATCAAGAAACATCCGCAAAGGGGGAGCAGTGAAGTTAGAAGCGACATGAAATTATGCAGCCATTGCGTACATGGAAAGGAGCCCAGTACAAACAGTTCATGCCCTTTCTCTCTCTTGAATACTGAATCAGGTCACTGTCGTTGATTATAAAGCAATGTGTAGATTACTTGATCCGCCCGCTTCGGATGCTTTCGATTTCCTTTACTTCGCAAAGGAAAAATAAATTAATATATGCCAGACCAATGATCAGTGTTGTTCGCTAATTCCCATCAGCTACTTGAAGTCGTGCTGGGAACAGATTTGCTGCTATCTCTTTAGGTACTCTTAGTTTACTCTTGAGCACGTCCAGTCAAAAGTGCCTTGAATAGTGCAGTGCAAAACGGTATATGTTGTGCTTTGCAGCCCAGTAAAAGACAAAGTTGTGGTGAATGACAGATGGGGGAAAGGCTGTCGGTGCCGTCATGGTGGAGTTTGCACTGGAGCAGATAGGTATAACCCTGGTCAGTATAAACTTTCTTTTCTCCTATGACAGAAGTTGGAACATGTAAAGTTCTTATTCAGGGGCACCCAACGACAATTTTCGGAAAATATCTGTTCGGAGGACGATTTGAGATCTAGAATTTTCGTAACATTTGCTGTAAAATTTCTTGCTTGTCTGCCTCTCCTAGGATTTTCGAACATCTAAAAAATGATATAATTGCCCATTTTTAACGAATTTTAACCCTTAAAAGGTCACCTAGAATTTTCGGGAGCCTTTTTTCTGGCTGAAAGTTTCGAAAAGGTAAATTTTGATCCCTATAATTTTCGGATCACTAGACTTTCAGCTAGGAAATCCGAACAGATGAAAAATTTCTAGGGGATAAAAATATGCCTGTATCTACCGTTTAAATACTAAAATACGTTTAACAATGCTATGTTTAAGTGGTTTTGAACTATATTCTCGTTGGGTGCCCCTGCTTATTGCGAAGCCTCGATGTTGTTAAAAACAGTAGTTTGTAGCTTCTAAACGACGAAGAAACATCAAAGAACAGACAATAAGTAGACTGAAGCAACCCGACAAGTTTGAATAATCGTAGACAAACGAAAATCACGACAGTGATACATGAGCATGTAAAAACGCGATTATCACTGACTTCAGTCGGCATTACAATAGCCTATACCACCATTCCTAACTGATAAACGTCAGACAAGAGGTTTAATACGATCGATTGAAAAGGGGAATTAGAGTTGCACGTCACCTTATGTTACAGAAAACTACATTATACCGCTGTAAGTCATTTCACCCTTTCAGGCAAACTTCAAAAAAGGAAATGGGAGAACGCAATGACTATTGACCGACTGTCTTGGGGGTTTCGCAGAGATGCCAATCTTAACGATTACTTTAGCATCGAAGAACTAATTAAAGAACTTGTCAGTACAGTAAGGTAAGCTTGAAAGAATAATTCACCTTAAGAAGCTTACAAAACATGTAGTTTTGGATGAATACGTGGCTGCCAGTTGCTTCCTATCACACGTTCTTTTGGCTTGGCGGGCTTGTCGCGCGCAATCAATAGGAAGTCTCGCAANTTTGCTGCTATCTCTTTAGGTACTCTTAGTTTACTCTTGAGCACGTCCAGTCAAAAGTGCCTTGAATAGTGCAGTGCAAAACGGTATATGTTGTGCTTTGCAGCCCAGTAAAAGACAAAGTTGTGGTGAATGACAGATGGGGGAAAGGCTGTCGGTGCCGTCATGGTGGAGTTTGCACTGGAGCAGATAGGTATAACCCTGGTCAGTATAAACTTTCTTTTCTCCTATGACAGAAGTTGGAACATGTAAAGTTCTTATTCAGGGGCACCCAACGACAATTTTCGGAAAATATCTGTTCGGAGGACGATTTGAGATCTAGAATTTTCGTAACATTTGCTGTAAAATTTCTTGCTTGTCTGCCTCTCCTAGGATTTTCGAACATCTAAAAAATGATATAATTGCCCATTTTTAACGAATTTTAACCCTTAAAAGGTCACCTAGAATTTTCGGGAGCCTTTTTTCTGGCTGAAAGTTTCGAAAAGGTAAATTTTGATCCCTATAATTTTCGGATCACTAGACTTTCAGCTAGGAAATCCGAACAGATGAAAAATTTCTAGGGAATAAAAATATGCCTGTATCTACCGTTTAAATACTAAAATACGTTTAACAATGCTATGTTTAAGTGGTTTTGAACTATATTCTCGTTGGGTGCCCCTGCTTATTGCGAAGCCTCGATGTTGTTAAAAACAGTAGTTTGTAGCTTCTAAACGACGAAGAAACATCAAAGAACAGACAATAAGTAGACTGAAGCAACCCGACAAGTTTGAATAATCGTAGACAAACGAAAATCACGACAGTGATACATGAGCATGTAAAAACGCGATTATCACTGACTTCAGTCGGCATTACAATAGCCTATACCACCATTCCTAACTGATAAACGTCAGACAAGAGGTTTAATACGATCGATTGAAAAGGGGAATTAGAGTTGCACGTCACCTTATGTTACAGAAAACTGCATTATACCGCTGTAAGTCATTTCACCCTTTCAGGCAAACTTCAAAAAAGGAAATGGGAGAACGCAATGACTATTGACCGACTGTCTTGGGGGTTTCGCAGAGATGCCAATCTTAACGATTACTTTAGCATCGAAGAACTAATTAAAGAACTTGTCAGTACAGTAAGGTAAGCTTGAAAGAATAATTCACCTTAAGAAGCTTACAAAACATGTAGTTTTGGATGAATACGTGGCTGCCAGTTGCTTCCTATCACACGTTCTTTTGGCTTGGCGGGCTTGTCGCGCGCAATCAATAGGAAGTCTCGCAAGAGGGAGTTTTAGCATCGACGACGGCGACGGCAGCGAAAACGTCACTTTTAAAATGAATTCGCGTTTTTTCAAGCTTTGTCGCGTTTATTCCAATTTACTGAAAATGTCAAATGTAGGCGTATTTCCCTGGAGTTGATTTCTCGGGGACCGAACTCAAGTTCAAATACACTGTAATTTTCAGGGAGTTATAATAACTCCTGTAGTGGGGCTAATTGAACTCCTTACAGTGGAGTTATTTTTCGTGGAGTTACTTTAACTCCAAAAAGGAGTTTAAAGAACTCTTTTTCAGGAGTAAAAGTGACCCCAGATAATGAGGAGGTAAAATAACCCCAAAAAAGGAGTTATCCTGTACCTAAAATTTTTTACTCCACTTTCAGAGTTAAATTAACTCCAAAAAGAGTAAAAACAACCTATGTAAGGAGTACAAGTAACCCCCTTTCGGAGCAATTTTAACTCCAGACTGGGAGTAAAAAGAACTCTTTTCAGGAGTAAAAATGACCCCAAATTCGGAGTTGAATTAGGAGTTAAAATAACCCCCAAAAAGGGGTTATCCTGTACCTAAAATTTTTACTCCATTTTTGGAGTTATAATAACTCCCTAAAAATTACGGTGTAGAGAAAGAAAAAATCGTCGTCGCTTGTCGCTTGTTTACGTCCTCCTTAAAACGTGAAATTAGGTATTTTCACGTCATTTTCGTGCAGGGAAGGCAAAGAAATGTACAAACAAGCGTGACGCACGTGTAGAATTCTTGTTTTGCTTATCTAAAACCTATTGCTTTTCCGAAGTTCTCGTTGCCGTTGCCGTCGCCGTCGTCGTTGCTAAAGCTCCCTATTAATTGAAAGGGGCTTCAAGCAGTCTAAAAAGTCACTCGAGAACGAAACTCGCCGCTTTTGCCGGCAGCAGTATACGGAGTATCGTTACACATGTACATCCACAAACTTATATAAACTAATCCTTATAACAGCTCAATAGGGGCTTTTTATTTTTAAATTGCTGTGTTTGTATGTCTGTCTCTTCTTTGGTAGCTGCGGTGGTAACTTACTTATGAATGTGGGACCCGCTTCAGACGGAACAATTTCGCCAATTTTCCAAGAGAGGCTCACGCAGATGGGAGACTGGTTAAAAGTAAATGGTGACGCTATATACAAAACGAGGCCTTGGAGAGCACAGAATGATTCGGTCAGCGGCAATGTTTGGTGGGTATAGTTTTTCTAACGTACATGTATGAAAAATGTCGCAAACTCATCGAATGTGGGTTGAGCTTTTCTGAACTATTTCATGTGTGAAACCATTTGCCCGGCCTGCGGCCTGCTGGTATTTTTATGATCCGTCAGAGTATAGATCATGGAGAATTGTTGTCTATTTGTTGAATGTCCATAATTGTTCTTTTCTTTACATTACCAGTACTTACTATCTCTGTGTTAAAATAACAATAATTATGAGGTACGAATAATAAGGTTTATGGTCATGCTTAGATAAAGTGTTCACTGGAGTACAATAGCTGCTTTCCCTGAATATCGAGCTCTGCGCTATGGTTTTGCGCGCCGTCAGATCAGGCCGGTGGTTCTCGTTCGTTAAAGTAACAACAGCTAGCTGCAAAGGAGCGCAAACGAATATGCCGTACTAGAGCCCAAAAATACCAAAAGGTGAACATAAATCTGCATGGCTGATTGTAACACGCAAAATTCAACTTAGCAAGACAAAAATGACACCTATTAATCCCTAACAGAGCGGGATTGTAGCCGTTGACAGATGTTTCGCTAGTTTTGGTTCGCCAGAGCGGCATAACAACAGTCGTCTTTCTCTATACTTTAATCTTTGAGTTTTTTGAAACCCTTCGCCCCATTTTATCAAATAATCATGTTGGTTGTTTACCATTTACAAAAAGTTTCCGGAAAATCCGGTTGTTAACGAATTTTTTTGGTCGTTCCGGCGGGGAATTTCCGGGAGCAACGGAACATCTGAAAAGGTAGTCCGGTTTTTCCGGACGGAATGCTCCCAACGGAACTTCTTTAAATTTTTCTTTTTCTCAGAGCTATCTTTGACATCGGTTTCAGGCCTTCGAGGCCGTTTTACAGAAAGGGAATCGAATTGTACAAACGTTAAACGCGATTCCGGGATGAAACTTGCCAGTCCCGACCCAAACCATGAACCGACTGTTTTGCCCGTGTAGATGGTAAACACACCGTTAACTCCACCACACCGTCTTGTTATCCTTAGTTTTTCATTCCACTTCTTATTTCCTGTGTGTTAAAATCCTATATAGGTACACTGCAAAAGGCGAACATGTGTTTGCTATATCACTCAGCTGGCCACGATCAGGAAAGTTGGAACTCGGGGACCCTATTGCCACGCCCCGAACAAGTGTTAAGATGCTGGGAACTAAAACATCTCTCTCCTGGATTCCAAAGCACAAAAGCAAGAAAGCTGGTCTCGTGATACATGTTCCAGCGATTCCTGTATCCAATCTTCCTTGTCTGTGGGCTTGGGTTTTTAAGTTGTCACACGTTAAGTGATTTCGTTGTACGGCTGCACCTAATAGACAACATTGAGTCACTTCCACTTGATGGCGGAAATGATAAACATTTTCAGATAGTGAACGTGGTGAAAGCTAAAGAACTTTAGACGATGTTGTTTAACTCCTCCTTTTTGTTGTGGTGATATCTAGAGCACTCGTGAAAGAAGAACTGAATTATTTGCAGGGCAGGTATTTCGCCCGTAGTTTCCAGTTCGTTAAAGACAAAGACAAAGACAACGACAAAGTATGATATCACTCAGCCTAGCAGATAAAAACACGTATTTTTTTATGTCTTGTGGAAATGAATAAGCTGTACATTATAAAAAAACACAGTCACCAAATAGCCAAGTAGAACTTGAGCATGATTCGGTTTCCAATTCGACTACACGGTTAGTCGATGAACTGGCAACATCACACTGAAAGCGAACACTCTAAACGAAGGCGGAGCCAAGTAGGTTAAAATGGGTGCGAGCAATGTACATTACTTTTGGTTTATTTTCTTAACCTGTTTATTCTGTTATTGTTTGTTATTAATTTTATTTTCTTATTTATTCAAGTTATTCTATTATTATTTATTGTTTATTTTATTTTCTATTTAATGTTTCTGTCATGATTGGTTGGTGAGTAACGAAATCTTAAAAAAGTGTTTGGCCACTTAATGCTGTTGTATTTTGTTATGAAAGCGTGCAACGGATTTTGCTGTACCGAGTTTACGCAATCACGGGGGCAACAGCAGAGAGTAAGTGTGAAAACAATAAGCTATTGCCATCTTTCAACGCACTTAATTTTTTTTTCATTGTTTCACTGTTTTGCTGTGACTGAATTGAATCAGCAGCGTTTTCTTGAGGTTTTCATAACGAAAAGAAAATTAGCAGATTTGTTCACACAATTTCCTCAGAGACTGCTATACATTCCTCGTGCCAGGTGGTTACTAGAGGCAAGGGCTTTATCCTCTCCTGCTAGAGGATATATCGAAGTCCTGGATCAATCACTTCACGAAAATCTCGGTAATCACATGAGTAATTTTATTCAAAGTAAATCTGTTGATAATATGCTTGCCTAGTCTTTTCCGGCGTTTTCCCAAACATGTCGGTAACGTGTCATTTGTTAACACATGTCACCTCTTCGCTCAGAGCATATGATCCGACAGAACGAATCGGCTGAGGGAGAAGAAGACGGCAAACCTTGTGTGACAAGCGTGATTGTAACTATGTTTGGAAAACAATTTCCGCCTAACTGCACCTTCCTTTAAACAGTTAAGACCAAAACACGGTAATGTTAAGTCAACATCAAGGAAAAACTCGCGAGTAATAGCCCTGTCACGTTTGTCCAACAGAAACGTTTTACCGACGCCTTCTTTCTGCCGTCTTGTTGCGTAAGCTCAGTATTGACGCCAGGGGACTAGGAAAGGGAATATGCTTTTTCTCGTCGCGTGTAAGAAAACCCAAGACAGTCTTTTAAAGATTCTGGATTGCACGCTGTGGATTCAAGATTCCAGGTACTGGATTCCAAGATTCTGGATTCCACGCAGTGGATCCCGGATTGTACTGGATTCCAAGATTCTTGAATCCACGCCGTGGATTCCGGATTCCAGGTACTGGATTCCGCATTCCTTGTCAGTGGAACTTGGATTCTGGATTCCAGTCGTTACCCCGGAGCTGAATTCCGGATTCCATGATTCGAGGATTCCAGTCCAAAGCCCCGGTTTCTCTTTCCGCAAGCAAACATTTCCCGGATTACCTTATTTGGAGCGATTTTATAGTCTTCAGTTTTGTTTTTGTATACATTGTTATCATATGCCATAATCAGAAGCTTAGTGCAGAACCAAATATGGAAAAAGAAACTGAGAATGAATAAATGTTTTGCTGATGAACGGAATCCTGCCGATTACAACCGTTGGATACTAAACATATATTCATACTATAGGAGTTGCTGTAAAGCGAAATCTAATTATTCTCCCAGTTTTTCCTGCAGACCTCTTGAGGAGCCACCTCTTAAAACAAACAAATAAACAAAACGATAAATCTTGATCAAAGAGACCTCATTCAGGAGTCATCTTAAGGTGTAAACGCTTAAACAATTTATCTGACAAGGCAATAATAAAAACAGTATTATTAATAGACATAATGGGAATCCTGAAGCGATTTTTACATTGCTTCTTTAGGTTCTTTCTCCGCACATCAATCAACTTTTATCGTCTCTTAGTAGTTGCTCAAGTGGAGAAAAGAGAAAAATATCACTAGTCACTTATTTCATGGACAAATCTAGCCAAACTAGGAAATGAATTGTTGCGACACGCACTCAGGCACCTGTTTACCTAACAATCATCTTCATTACTACTTTCTAGAAATACAATAATTATTATTTGACGGATAACAGAAGACGCCAAAAAGAATCATTTTAAGTAAACCGTTGACAAGATATCAAACAGCAAAGTTCAAGAAAATTTTCCTTATTATTTCTGAATCAGCTGAATCCGTCAAGTTAAGTTTGACAAGAAATTTCCAAGACGTAGGGTTAAGACGCTTTTAAGAAGTTTTTCTGCAAAATAATGTAAAAGGTTAATAATTAAAGATATAAAGAGTGTACTACCTTTACTAATCAATAAGATTTGATCAAAAGTTCGTCTCTCCACACAAATTTAACTGTAATTGTTGCCAGTGGATCATCAGTTGTCTTGATTTGCAATGGAATTGTCCAAACACTAACAAAAGTACACTTGTGAGAATTCAGAGATTCCAT